ATAACATTTACTTGAAAGGGGACTATCCTAAGATTTACCTTTCAGGGAAAATATGACATTAAAAAATTCAGAAACTTAGTATTCGGTGCTCATGAAATGGTGCTTGCTTACCCATCAATTTTATTCCATCACCCAAAGGAATTGAAATATTTTCAGGTGGCTCTTTTTACATAGCACTCACATTTATTAATTAATGGAGGGTTTTTAGATGTTTCTCTCCAAGATTCTCTTTCTTTTCTTCCTCATGAATAAAGACTGGGAAAGCGCTTTCTAACCACCATAAAGCAGACAAAATAGCAAATGGGAAACAGGTGAAGGTATTGATCCATCCAGTCAGGTTTGATGTGGTACAGCTGGAACTAGTATCTGGTTGTGCTGGCAGATTTAGGCTCAGAAAGTGGCCCCTTGGAGGTCAATAGTAAGGAGTTCTGGTGTAAGAGCATAACATGGCTTTGGCAGGAGCAAGAACCATAAGATAAGCTAGTATTCCTGCTCTATTCAAATAGCTAAACAAAGAGGTTCCCCACCACCCAGAGAGAACTACAGAGCCTATTGTGTGAAAGAGGCCTTTGGGCTGCTGGTAGAGTTTGTGTTTCAGGTGCCCAGGAAGCACCAGGCTGAGCCTCAGGTGCTGTGTGGTCTACAGTTTAGCCTGTGCCCCATGAAATCAGACACTTCTCTCCATTTCTAGCTGGTGTGATCTCATAGTAAGCTGATACTCATATCACATCTTCTACAAATTAGGGCATCTGTGTTATTTTGAAGTGTATGAACAAGTGTCCCTGGGTTCAATCCTCAATATCAAAAACAAAAACCAAACCAAAACAAACAAGCAAAAAAATCAAAATACAAACACTTGTAGTAATAATTGGTGACACTTAAGGCATAAGACTTACATGAGGAATGAAGACTGCCTGCGATTGTACATGACTGTTGTCTTGTTAGTACTATGTATTCACCCCAACTTTAATTTTTTTGAGGTTTTAGAAAAAAATAGGTTGAATAAAATTCAGACTTTCTTTTATGGACACATTATAGTCCCATTCAAGTGTAAAACCATTCATCCAGCCCAGAATTATGCTTCTGATTGTACTGTGTGAAGGTTTGTGTATCTCTACTATTATCAATATTAGAACTTAAATAAATTTGATAAAAACAGTTTGATAAGAACAGTTGTTTTCTATAATGTATCCCAGCAAAACTTCTGAATAGCATACTGTTCAAAATTTTGGGGTACACAAAATTTTCAGATTTTAAATTTGACATTTTTCTTTTCTTTGCTTTTGTTCTGGTGGGGATGTGTGTGCCAGGGATTGAACCCAGGGGCACTTAACTACTGAGCCACATCCCACGCCCTTTATAATTTTTATTTTGAGACACAGTTTCACTAAGTTGCTTGGGGCCTCACTAAATTGCCAAGTCTGGCTTTGAACTTGTGATCCTTCTTCCTAAGCCTCCTGAGTCACTGGAATTATATGTGTGCACTGCCATACCCAGCTTGATGTTTTTCTTATAAAAAATGTATTTATAAATTTTTTTTATTACTTCCTTTCAGTTATACATAATATTAGGGATTTTAATATAATTATACAAGGAATGTAATTTGCTGTAATTCAGTCCCAAATACTTTCCCTTTCTCTCTCTTTCTCCCTCCCCTGTTCTGTTCCCCACTCTGCTGATTTTTCTATTTATAGTTTTTTTTTTAATTAGTGTCTTGTGTATATGCATGGAGGTGAGATTCACTGTGGTATATTCATATATGTACATAGGAAAGTTAGATTAGATTCAGTTTACCATTCTTTCCCCATCCCTCCTTCTTAACCTTCATTCCCCTTCCTCAACTCCACTGTTCTCTCTTCAATTTTACCTTTTGGTCAGGACCAAACTGCCCCCACCCCCGCGCCCCCATCATGTGGATCTGAGCTCTCACTTCTTACTACTATGATTGCAGGAGTCTGCTCTGTCCCTGCCTGGGTTCCCATGAAAGTTGTTAGCAGCAGTGAGCTAAGCACTTCCCAGGGTGGGTCTGCCACACTCTGCTTTCCTTGTTCTCTCTGTGTGGGGGTGGGTTTCATTAACTCCCAGCTAGTAGCGGTCCTTCTATAATTCCTTGCTATTTTATTTTTCTCGTAGAAATGTATGTGACCTGGAATTGTTTCACAGCTTTACCAGTTTTGGTTGTTAGGTGTTTTTTGTTTTCTGCCAATTTTTACCAATAGAATAACTACATTGTCATACAAAATAAAAAATAATAAATAAAACCATATAGTCATGCAAAGTTATGAAGTGGAAACTCATTTGGTATATAGGTTTAAATTTTTTTTTCATTAAGAAATACTTTAAATAGAGCAAAAGTTCACATTAGTTAGTACACAGTTCTGGACATGGCAACACATGAAGAAAAATACAAGATAATTCTCCATCCTCCTTTGTAAGTAAAACTTCCCAACCCTTAACTATGGGAATCCACTGATCTGCTTTCTTTTGCTCTGGTTTTGCCTTTTTCAGAATGGCATGTAAGTGGAATCATGCCAAATCTTATCTTTGACTACTCCTGGGTCATAAAGCTTTTATTTTTTATTGTCTTTTAAAAGTGTTAAAAGTTTAATGTTTACATTTATATCTATGATTCATTCTGTGGCAGTTTTGTTAACAGTCTAAGGCAGGTATTAAGGTTGGTTTTATTTATTTATTCTTTGTGGGCTATGTGAACATTTTATACAAAATGTCTTATTGCTTGAAAAGCTTGTAATTTCCTCATTAACTTGACTATGCACTATTGTCAAAAATCAATAGACAATTCTATATTTATATATAAGTTCAGTAGCACAGTTAAAACATTATCCCAGGCTCAAGAAAACTACCATCTTCCAATCTGTAGATTTGCCTATTCTGAACACTTCACATAAAGTATTTCTGACCATGTGTGGTGACTGGTGTAAAGGGTCAGAGGTCATTGCAGTTAAGAACTCTCTTCCTAAGCATGTGATAAGTATAGGAAAGATTATAAAGGATTTCAGTCAAGAATATAATTTCCACAAATATTTTAGGAGTTTCTTCTACATGTTCTACACTGTACTTAGCACCAGGAGATAAGTGGTAAGTAAGGTAAAATCATCTTTTCCTTACAGAACATATATAGTTTAGGGAAGAACAGGAGGAGGTAAAGGAGTAAAATCTCTGATGAGGGTTAAGATAGAGAATGTACTAGAATTTATGAGATCATGCATAATAAATGCTGATATTTGTTTACTATTTACTTGTGCCAGATATTATGCTAACCATTTGGCTTATGGTAGCTCATTTAATTGAAACAACTTATTGAATAAGTAGTTGTTATTATCATATTTTATAAATCATGGGTCTGAAATGCAGAGAGGTTAAGGTATTATAGTTAGAAAGACTGAGGGAGATTAAAACACAGGCTCTCACAGTCCCCACTCTTCTCTATAATGAGAAAATATTGATGAGCCTCATCACTGAAATTTTACATTTAAAGACTTAGTGGACCACTTAGGTAGAATTTTCCAGTAGGTATTTAGAAGCAAAAACATTTAATAGGAATGTTAGCCATTAAAAGATATTTTGATGCTATTCCAGGTAATCTAACACTTTAAGTGACTTAATGCAATCTTTGAAATTTTTCAGATGAAGAAATAAAGAAGTCTGGAGGCAGACCCTGTGGGAAATTCTACTTAGGATGGGGAAAAAGGAGAGTAAGAACACAAACAATATATTTCCCTACAGAATTCAAGATGGTGAAGAGATAGGAGTTCATTTTTGCCTCTGTCTTGGGGATGTATGATCTCTAGAGTGAAATGAAAATGACTAAAATAGCAAGTCCTCCAGGAACTAAACATAGATCATCATCCACAGTGTGAATACAATTCCCTTATTTCCCTTGTACATCTAGAATCTGTTCTTTGGCAAAGTAACTGAGCACAGTTCTACCTTGTTTATAACCAAGTACATTATGTCATGAAACTAAGATGTAGTCTTCTGTGTCTTACCAGGTAGCAATCAGGATAACAATAAAGACTTAATGGTTGCTGGAAAAGATTGAAAGTCATAACCATAAATTATGATCTGAAGCTCAGACACAGTTCAAGGACATATAAAAAATTAAACCTGGATCTTATCCTCCTAGAATCAAAGACACCTCAAATCTTGGAAATTACTTTTCCAAGAATACAGGGACAAATAACAAGGATAAGGAAGTGCTGAGGTCTGGATTAAGAAAGGTGAGTTCCTGAATTCCTGGTATGTTGATACTGTCCTTAACAACATATTTATAATTATGTCAAAATGGATTCTGTTGTCATGTATAACTAAAAAAAATGAGAAAATATAAGGCCCACACTCTAAACTATACTATTTCCTCTCAATTTTGCATATTCCTGAGATTCAAGTGAAATAGGTTGAAGGAAGTTCCTGAGGAGGCTTGAGCATGTCTATCAGTAGTTCCCTCTCCAGGGACAGCTCTCTCACTCTTCTAGATTCCTTCCTTCCCTCCCTCTGTCCCTCCCTTCTTATCTCTATCTCTATCTCTATGTATATGTCTATCTCTTCTTTTTCTCACATGGGTTATTAAATAATCTCTCCAGTTTTTGATTAGAAACAATGCTTTGAATTCTACCCCACCTGCCTTTAATGTCCATTAGAGGTCAGCACCAGGTTGCTTTAGGCTTCTGCCTCCAATTCATCTGGTGAGAGAAGGTGCCGGTGAGGAGAGAAAGGATGAGAAAAGAGATAAATTCTTCTTTCCAGGTCTACTCTTCTCCACCCTCCCTCCAACCCCGAATTCATGTTTGTACTTGATATCATTGCTCTTCTTGTTATAGGGTCAGTTAGTTGTGCTCTGCAAGGGCTGATTCTATGTGTTAGGTTGGGTTAGTCTCTGACATCCCCAGTGTATATCTGACACTTGGGGGAAGGAACAGTGTTTGAAGAGCTGGCTTGTCCTCTAATGTAGCTCTTTGTCCAGTGTCCATAGGCTCTCTTGAAGAATGTCTCCTGGAAATGGCTCTTTTGTGACTGAATTCATTCTGGCGGGGCTAACAGACTGGCCAGACCTCCAACTCCCTCTCTTCTTCCTATTTCTGGTAATGTATATGGTCACTGTGTTGGGAAATTTGAGTTTGATAACTCTAATTGGGCTGAATCCACATCTTCACACCCCCATGTACTTTTTCCTCTTTAACTTGTCCTTCATTGACCTCTGTTACTCTTCTGTCTTTACACCCAAAATGCTGATGAACTTTGTATTAAAGAAGAATATAATCTCCTACAGAGAATGCATGACCCAACTCTACTTTTACTGTTTTTTTGTGATTTCGGAATGCTATTTGTTGATGTCAATGGCCTATGATCGCTATGTAGCCATCTGCAGTCCACTGTTGTACAATTTAGCCATGTCCCCTAAGGTGTGCTCCAACCTTATGCTTGGTTCTTACTTGATGGCATTCTCTGGTGCCATGGCCCACACTGGATGCATGCTGAGGCTGACCTTCTGTGATGTGAACATCATCAACCACTATTTCTGTGACATCCTCCCTGTGATGCAGCTCTCCTGCACCAGCACCTATATCAATGAGCTGGAGGTTTTCATTGTGGCGGGCATCAACATCATTGTGCCCAGTCTCACCATCATTATTTCCTATGGCTTTATCATTTCCAGCATCCTCCGAATAAGCTCCACTGAGGGCAGGTCCAAAGCCTTCAGTACCTGCAGTTCCCACATAATTGCTGTCTCTCTGTTCTTTGGATCAGGTGCATTTATGTATCTTAAGCCATCTTCTGCTGGGTCGATGGATGAGGGCAAAATCTCCTCTGTCTTTTATACCAATGTTGTTCCCATGATGAACCCCTTGATCTACAGCTTGAGAAACAAAGATGTCAAAATTGCCCTGTGGAAAACCCTGAGCAGGAGAGAGTTTTGATCAGGTACTGTGTCTTTGTCCATGCAGTTGCAGAGTAGGGAGATTCTGTGTAATTAATTATACTATTTTAGTGTCAGCCTTTTTAATCTGTTTATTTTTACTTAGATAATTTTTATTGTACTTTTTAAAATCTAAAGTATTTTAATTTATTTAATTGACAGAAAACACTATGCAATTTTAACATGTATAGCATAATGGTTTGAAATCTAGATAGGTGACATAAAGATTAAATCTAGTCCTCTTTCTTTTTAATCAAGGTAAAGTAAATTTGTATTCTCTCAGTTTATTTTTTTAAGAGTGTGTTTTTCCCATTTTCACTATTCCTTTTGCTATTCACCATGCTTATTACTTAATCATAATGATGTTAAGAAAGAAATTCATCTTTGATTTTTATTTTTTCATTGTTACTATGGACTTTCTTTCTTTTTTTTTTCTTGATACCCTTAAAAACATGCATGAGGGCTGGGGATATAGCTCAGTTGGTAGAGTGCACAAGACCCTTGGTTCAATCCTCAGCACAAGAAAATCAAACAAATAAAACAACAACAAATATGTATTATGTGACACACACAAGCTCAATATTGTCTCTTTTTTACTTCCCTTTTTATTGCTAAAAGATGATAAATGGTCTACAGATGATAAAAAAAGTAACACTGGGATTTTTTCATTGTGTGTTGACTTTTTAATCTTCCACTTGTAACATGCCATTGGGAAACTGAACCAGAAAATGTGACTCTTCTCCCTGGGCATCCTCTGTCAGGCAGAAATGTCATAGTCATTGACATTGGAGGCTCTATAAATTCTCTCAATTGTAACCCATTTTATAGCTTTATCTGTGTTTTTCATTAAGCCTTATTGATACAGATTTCATAACTGGTACTTAGTAGATTGCTAACAAACACTTATCATGTGTACATGATATGAATGCTCAGAGAGGTTAATATTTACTAAAAATCTCATAGCTTCCTTGTGAAAAGCCTAGAATTTCTTATTTGTTTCTGATTTTAAGTATATTATTCTCTCTAGTATACTTTCTGTCTGCTTCATTTATTTTTATTTTAGAAAACATGAATATGAGAAAATATTTGTATTTTCAGAATTAATTGTGCTTTGTTCCTGGATTTTACAGAAATTTTTTTCTTGGTGCTTTATGTTTTAGTTTCTTTAGGATCATTTATTGTTGTGGTGACATTGGAACAGAGAAGGCATTTTAGAATAGCGCATTAGATGTATTTAATTTTTTTTAATAAAATGACTTCAGGATGTTGTATTCAGAGAACAGGATCTGAAACAGAGGGATCTGCATCCCAAAGCCCCCATTTCTCCTTTTAACAGGAGTCACAATAGGCACATATGCTTATATATTTCAACTTGCCATAAGCTGACTCTTAAAATTATCCCACATACTCTTACCTTTGACAGCCTGTCTTTACACCTTTTTTTCTCTGATTATTTCCCCACAAATAACAAGAAAGAATGTTGCTGGCTGGTTGTGGTTCAGTGGTAGAGCACTTGCCTAGCACAGGTGAGCCACTTGGTTTGATCCTCAGCACCACATAAAAATAAAATAAAGGTATTGTTCCACCTTTAACTAAAAAATATTTTAAAAAAGAATGTTGCCTATTATAAAGTTTATATTTCTGAAATCGAAACATTTCATATATATTCTAAGGCTCATCAAATGAAAGATTAGTTAGTGACTCTGTCAAGTTATCTCATGTAGTGATAAAATACATAAGAATAAATATATTTCTGATATGTTTACAAAGGATACTAAATAACACAAATGTTATTTATCTATTTAGCTGAATTTTATTTTAAAAAGGAAAACAATTTTATCAAAAGGAATGCTAAGAGGAATTAGCATTATTGTTAGAATTATTGTTAATGATTCTTCCTAAATCCCAGGTCAGCAGTAAGTTATTATATTCAATATCTTATCTAATCTCACAAGTGACCTTTGTAGATACCAGTATGAGTAGCCCACTCATATTATAGATCCACTCATAGTAGATTGCTTCTGTTCACCTCTTTTCCCAAAATATGTATTTCTGAGAATCTTGCAGTAGAGTGTGGCATGTGACAGTTCCAGAAATAGTGAATAGCCTCCCAGGGCCAAGATTTTGTGCCCTTTTCACATTCTCTTTATCTTTCTGTGAACTGGATGGAGATAATAATGGAACCTCACTTAGATCATGAAAGTGTAAGGAAAACCCAGGAAGTGTTTGCAATAGAATCATGATTGAAAAGGAAAGAATGGATGGAGTTACCAATAAGAATATGTATAAGGATCTGGGGTGCTGGCAATTAATTGCAGATCTGCATGGTGGTTATAAAATGTTCATTTCATGAAAATTTACTGAAGTACATAATTTTTATATGTGTTTATGTATTTATATATGTATTTATGCTAAATTTTATAATAAAATAAGACTATAAAACTTTTATTAGCACTCTACTTATATTGAACAATAAGCACATATTATGCAAACTTTAAGAATAAAGGCCCAAGTATATGAAAACAACCTAACAGAATGGTTCTGTAGAAACAGCAGAGACAAGGTAAAATTTCAAAATAATCTAGACTGATCCAGTGCAAAGACAATTCTTTTTCCTTAAGAAGGTAAAAAGACACCGATGTCTATTATAGGTGGAAAGTCAGTGTTCTTGTATAGATTTGTAGTGTTATATATCCTTATTTTTATATTTACAGTATGGTATATTTCTCATTCTATATATACAATTTTATTTTCTAAATCATTTCTTCTATCTTGATAAAGTATTTTCTCAATGAACTTCTTCAGATGTTATTTTGATACATCTTTTATTAAAATATTTTAGGAATATAGAAATATTTAGGCATAGTGAAAAGACTGCTTCAATGACTAGAACTGTTATAGAACAAAATAAAAAAATCAAAATCAGGTGTTAATGCTGTATTTTAAGTTCATAGGTGATTGTGCAATTAGTAACTTTGTATTGAGCCACAGAATATTTGGCTAGAGCATTTTAGGTTTTATTTTTCTGGGTAAGCCTTGTTCCTGGGAGACCAAAGTACACATGAAACTGAAGGTGAAAGTCAAATATATTCAGTTAGTGAAAGTGAGAGAGAACAATTGGTTGACCCTTGGTCTTCATATGCATTTATTTATAATGTGATCATGGGTTTTCAATTTCTATAATATGTCACAATATATAAATTTGAATGGGATAAGAAAAAATAGTTTGATTTACAAAAAATGATGGATAAATATGATGACCTAAAATGTGGTGAAAATAAATATTTTCATAATTACTGCTAGGAATGACAAAGAACAAATGAAAGAAAATACTAGAACTAGAAAGAGTGAATGATGTAAAAAGAGCCAAGGATAAGCACTTGCTTCACAATATATTTACTTAAGTGGTGTAAGTCAATTAAGTATTTAATTTTTCCCTTTGGTTATGAATATCTAATTGTTCCAGCCTCATTTTTGAAGAGCCTGACATTCCTTGAATAAATTGCCTTTGTACTTCTGTAAAAATCGACTGACTCTCTCTCTCTCTCTATATATATATATATGTGTTTGTGTGTGTGTGTGTGTGTGTACATCTTGGAATCTATACTAATCTATTGGTTTATCCTTTTAGCAATACCACACAATATCATTATTGTAGAATCACAATGAGTCATAAAATAAATTAACATGAATTGTCATTTGAAAAATTATTTTGATTATTCTTTTTTTCTTAGGCTTTTTCAGAATCAGCTTTCTATAAAACATCCTGCTTTAAACTTAATGTAATTGCTTAAAAGGTATGCATCATTTTAGAGATGATGAACACCTTAGTAATACTGAATCTTTTAATCAATATACCAGTGTGTCTGTCTTTATGTCTTCTAATTTTCATAGCGTAATATTGAACTCATATCTGTGGTTTTGGTAAAATTCCTTATGAGTTCTAGGAGTGTTATCTTTTTATATGTTAGGATATTTTTATGTTGACATTGTGTTATCATGCCACTTATAAATTTTAAAGTGTTATCTTTGTGTTCCAAAGACCTGCCATTTATTCATTCATTTATTTATTTATTTTACCTATTGCATTATGTAAGATTTCTAGTACTGTATCAAAGGCAATAGTAAAAGTGGAAATTCTTGCCTTTTTTAAAGTTCACATAAAGATTCATTATTTATTTACCCTTATGTATAGTATTTAAAAGCAATCAGTATATCTTTGTTTCAGCTTCATTGCCATTCTCATGAGTATCACTTAAAAGACTTAATTCTTGCTTGTTAATTGTTGAGGAAAAATAAAGTGGTATTGAAATGCTTATAAACTGTAATTTTCCTTTTGTGATCACTCAGAGCACAAAGAGTAAAGGTGGGGAGGAAAGAGGAAAAGTTTTTTCATCTTTTCTGAACTACTCTTTGAAAGAATTGCTTCCATTATATTTTAACATTCAAACACTACAGTGATTCTCATAGTGAGAGAAGAGGAAATAAAAATAAGTAAATAGCAAAATAATTACCATGATGTTTTAATTCATAATATTTTCTGTAGCTTTTAATTTTAGGCATATATATATATATATATATATATATATATATATATATATATATATATATTTGGGGAACTCAATTTCATCAAAAAATATCTTAAGAGCCTTCATTTAGTATGTTCTGTAATCTTTATCTGTTAATTTAATTAAATCTCGATTGGTTAAGTTAAAAGTTCCCATCAGAGGGAGCTCTTGACTTAGATTACCACAGAAACATTCATTTTCAAATGAGAAAATTTCCATTCCATGATAGGGACCTATTTAGATTACACAACTATATTTCTTAATCCATAAGATGATTAACATAAATTTCCTTTTCACGTTGCAGTAGTTTAGGCACAGAAGATAATTCTTATTTTTATAGAAATTGGGATTTTTAAAAGGTTATTTTTCCCTGAAGACCCAATGTTCCTTTTGTTATTTGCCACAAATTATATTCTAAAACATGTAGAGAATT